CTCTTTAAGTTATCTTTTCTTAAGTACTCTACGCTTTAGTTCTATATAACGCGTCGCGAGTCTTATCGCGTTAAGATCTTAAGTTAGTACTAGAGTTCCGCTTAATTAAGTAGTTTTACTACTCTCGCGATTAGATAGCGAGTAGTACACTTAACGCGTACTAGTCGTAGGAGATTTCATATATTTCTCGTCGCTAATAGTAGCGTAGGATACGTCTCGTAAGCTAGATATAGTTAGTCCGTCTCTACTACGGTAGCGTATTATTAGTGCTATTAGTACTTTAACCGAGAGACTATATTCGTTATTAGAATTCTCGAAATAGTACGAGAATAATTATTAGAGAGTCTTAGAGTGAGATCGTTAGACGGAGAGTTAGAGAGTTAAATATATATCTATATTATATAAAGCTATCCTTAAGATATCGACTTCTCGCACTATTAAGGATCTCTCTAGTAGTACGAGACTAGAGGTTCTATTTATCTCTTTCTATATATACCTATTGGGGGTAGACTTGGTATTAGGGTCCGTCTTGGCGTTAGGGTCCGTATTAGTATTGGGGTCCGCCTTAGTATTAGGGTCCGCCTTAGTATTGGGGTCCGTCTTAGTATTAGGGTCCGCCTTATCATTAGGGGCCGTCCACCCTATAGGGTATTGTCGGCCGGGAAGCGTATTGTAACAGTCATTGTAACAGCCCTGCTTCCCGGGTGACAGGAGGCGACGGGAAGGGGTGAAGGTGGACTCGATATTTGAAACGAAGCTCCCACCTATATAGAGTCGTTTAAGCGTAAGGTCTCCGTTTCACTACGTAACAACTCCCCTTAGCTTTTAATCTATTATCGTTGGACATTGCCAAAGGATAACTTGTAGGTAGTCGCTTTCGAAGGAAGTTTGTGACCGATATTAACCTTTTGGTAGCCCCCGAATGCGTACTCATGGGACCATCGAGGCCAATCCTGAATGCTGATTGGAATGTTCAGCATAGTGATCACACGTTTTCTCAGTAAAGTGGTGTCTCAGAGGTTTTCAATTTTCTCTTTGTCGTCGGAGAGCTTGTGCCAGAAGCCACGATCCGGAGCCGATGTCCATCTGTGCAGCAGATTGACCATTAAATGTCTAATATAGCGGTGTTTTATGCTTTGCATTAAGCCGGATCAAAGTCAGTGAATAGTCCACTTGAGGAAGAGATCGAAATTCACCCTCCTTATGAGTCCTAACTTAGTTTGCTATCGTACTCGCTTATTTTGCACATTGAGTGCAATTCTAGCTTGAAAATTCTTGAGATTTCGCCACCGTCATAAGATAATACTATGTCTTCAGGGTGTTTGTTATCTACACGAGGCTGTCTTCGGGTGGAATAGCTGACGGTGGTCAAAGAACAGGCGGGTCCTAGTAGTGTCTTCAAAATCATCTTCAAAAGGATCGGATCTGCAAGAGTGAAGATACAAGCGGGTCTGGACTTATAGAGCGCGTAGAACCTAACTTGATAACAGGACTATCTTGTTAGCATGAAGCGTATTATTCCTCTTAGACTAGTTGTCTTCCATAATATTTATAAGGTAATTGGAACCAGGGAAAGCCTAAAGAGCAAAGGAAAACTTAGCTCTATTGCCCGGGCCTCCCGGAAGGCCTGTACTTAGTTTTCACCTTCGTTCAAGGTAAGCGTCTTTAGGGAATATGGAAGTACTGGTCTTATCCGGGTGCGAGGACTGACTCCTCCGGCGTAGCTCTCGAGTAATTGCGGGTCGGTGGGAAGTAGTGCGCTCGGGGAATTGAAACAGCGCCTGTTGTGGCGATTGAAGGGCGGACCGTGATAACCCTTCCGGAAGAGAGAATTAGTTCCCATAATATCTGCAAGAAAACCCAGATATACTTCCCAGCGACTATTGAATCTCTAGACATACCACAAGCCTGAGAATCCTCTTGCATATTCAACGGTATGCGTGAATGGAAGCCTCTCATCCGTGACAGAGCGCGCATAGAACTTCCCATTACTACTTCTAGGAAAAGCTCTCCGTCCGCCATTCTTATAGGAGTAGATTAGCGCCCGACATCTCGCCTGCGGGATCTCAATTAGGTTAGATAAAGTCTGCAGGATTACCAGCCCTTGTCACTTCTTGAAACTAGTAACCCACCCTCGGCAGTGTCAATGTACTCGCATCATGTAGTTACCATGTGCCGGCTACTCGTACAGATCCTTGGGGGGTTGGAACAACACCCTTCGGCTGGTAATGTGCCAGGACCGTTCTCTAGCTTCGGCAGACCTCTCATTATCCCCGTCCTTTACAAGGGGTTCAAGGAGTCGCCGTTACTAGTACTCCACACTGACGGGAAATAATAGGCGATTCGCTACTTGTACGTGTCGCCATCGTCGATCCACGGGCATTGAACGCCTCTTTGGGCTGAACTAGAATATGTGACCAAGGTGGCCGCATGAAAAGGAGGTTATGATATGATTTGCTAGATGTCCATCGCTAAAGAAGCTAAACTAGTACTGGCTAATCTTAGTGGATCCCTGACTACGAATCCAACCGCGCCGCCCAGATCATGACAAAATCCTACCTTGTCCAGCTCCCAACGAAGACAGAGAGACGAGTGCAGGTAGTCCTCCTACCTAGGCTGAGTATTTCCAGTATTTCGGGTTCCACAGTGCGTAGGAAAAAAATTGGAGATTTTTTCGCCAGACATGCGTGCGAAGGATATATATTATACCCTACAGCGACGTGCGACCTACAAGGACAGTGCAACTACATACACTGGAATACCACTTCAGCCTCGAATAATCAAAATGGAGGACTCTCATATTAAGCAAGAATATGGTTCAACGTTCGACTTCGATATCTCCCTAGCAGAACTTTAGCCTAACGGCCTGTCGCTTCCCACCACACCGTCAGGCTCGAACAATTATTTCACTCAACCCCCAAGCCAGACGCTTTCGGTCGTCCAAGCCTATCAACCACACACAAACTCGACACATATACCATTTTCGACTTATGTTGTTCCCGCAGGGACAGTGCAGTTCATTAGATTATCCACCATCTATCCTACCGTTATCTATTGTCGCTTATGCGGGCAGATAATATCTAGCACAGTAACCTTTACGCCTGGATTACCTCTTGCGCCCTCCCTGTCCGACAACAGTCATATGCCGCTGAACGGTTTTCAATACAAGTCAACGATTTGAAGAAATGAGGAGAGAAAGAAAAGAAATTTGGTGGTTACACTGTGGTGTTACAGCGTTATTCGCTCTGAAAAGTCGTTACGGCTGAGTGTCAATAAATATTATAGACAAGGGATAGAGTACATATAGTTAAGGCTACAATCTAAGCAGAATGAACGGTTCATCTCGAACCTCCGTTCATATGGAAAATTAGAAAAGTCTCGCCCAACTGAATATTATCTCTTATGCCACTTCCTCCCTAACCGTGGCGCGGCCTATTTGTGCTACTAGGTCCTGTATAGTTTTCATGAACATGTTGGAGATTGATTCCATCAAGTCTTTTTGAGACTTTATTAACCTAGACTCCATTGTCTCTAAGCCTTCGAGTCTTCTTTCCACCGTTCCTAGTCTTTCGAAGCCTTCGTCCGAAATATAGCTATCGTTAGAGCTTGTGGAACGACTCCTTCTCTCATACGGAGCGTTGTGCGGACCCTCCAATTTCGCGGCGTCTTAACCTCGGTGATCTCGTTGAATGCGTTCTAGGGCTATCGTAGAGCAAATGGGACTGATTATAATGCCCAGGTCGCTTCGCGAGCTTCGGCCATGGTAATTTAAGCCCGCGCTCCAAAAAGAAATCCTCAATTATTATATCGGCCTTAGATTTGAAAATATTTCTGCAACCAGTTCTATTCCACACAGCGATTCCATATATGTACTTTGCTGCGATGGCAATGGAGATAAACCGATTTAAGTTGTCACTTGACACTAGGGTCACGCCGATTATACCTTGAAAACCTTCCCGATCCCGAGGGGTGTAGTTGTGCTTCTTGCACCGAATATCAACTCGCTCAGACTCGGGCAACTCTTCCAAATATCCTCGGGTTGCCCTCTCCCCGAGATCCACTGAGTCTATAAACTCGATCCCGTGAGGGAGCTCAGGCTTTTCAACGACAAACCTACATCTCGTTATGGTTGGCTGCCCATATATATCCATAGTCTCATATGGTGCCATTACCAATATTCTCCCGCCCTTTTCGGTCAGCTCCGGTCGCCAAGGAACGACCACTATAGACGAGGACTACCCTGAGGTAGTGGTGGAGCGAGAAGAGTGCCCAGTATCATTCCCAAATCGAGGTTTCTGACTTACGCTACTCTTTCCCCTCCACGGACTTGGGGGGTCTCCATTACCTTTGACAGAGGGTTCTTTCGCACGTTCCTTACCCTTTCCCTCGGAAGAGTTTCCTCGGAGGAGGGAGACTCGTTCGCAGGTTCTTTACCCTTCCCCTCGGAGGAGGGAGACTCGTTCGTAGGTTCTTTACTCTTTCCCTTGAAAGAGAAAGACTCTCCTTGCTTATGGGGATCGCTCTTACTGGTATCTGAATTCTCTTCTCCGTTGAAGCGTTTAATCATTTCGCGTTACTCTTTGTCTGATTTCGTCTTTAATTGTCGCATTGGATTACGTAGTTGTTGCGGTACATCGAGATCCCAGTCTATGGGGTAGTAGTTGTTTCTTGTTAGCTTGGATAGTTACTCATGTAGGTCTAGGAGCTTCTTCAATGATGTTTCATCCTCTGGGTTAGTCTCGAGGTTGGTGATAGTAGTGGCGTAACCCGAACTAATAGCCTTTAGGGCTTGAGTGAGGATGGAGAATGTCTTCTTTCCCTTAATCTTATCTTCCTGATTCAGGGCGTAGATTTCTTTATTGAATTTATCGATCTCCTTTTCACTAGACTCATCCTGAGGGTCAGAAAAGAGTTTGATAACAAACGGCGTAGCATTCTTGTAAATTTTCAATCTGCGGGAGTCGGGCTTTTGGAATATATCAATATCCTCTTCTTCGGACAGATCAGATTCACTAGATGGCTCATCGCCATAAGCATCTTCATGAAATTCTTCCCCGTACATAGATTTAGCTTCTAGACCTGAAAATTCGTGGAACTCAGAGGGATTATAGTCAAACTTAGGACGAGGTTCCTTATTACTGAGAACCTGCTATGCATATGAGACTCCTACGATATATGTTAGCGATCTATTGTTATATCCTCCACATAGAGTTTCACACTTACGACGGAAAGCTTTCGGTGCGTCAGGAAATCCGGTCTTGTCTGGGTAAGTCAAGACCGAAAGGCGTTTATACGCTGTCCGTATATCCGATCGCGTCGCTGAATTTGCGACACCAAGTATTCTATAGAAGTCAAATTGGTCGCACTTATTTATTCTAGTAATAGTACTCCGCTGTTCTTTTTGGTATTTGTCAGATTTCTCCTTATCGCTGGTCTCGCTTGCACTAGTTTTCCCCATATTATAGTCACCGTTGACGTCAGTGGTGGAGGCTTTGTTTGCTTCCCATATTTTATCACCCGTGGGGGGTTCGTCAATACCCTGACTTTTATTACCATCGTTACTAGTGGTCTGCTTAGATTGGTTAACTAGTTGCATTTGTTTATCGTCTGATTTCGATTCAATTTGTGCTTTGTGGTGGGTCTTTCGCTTTTCACCCATTCTTACTCTCCTCGTTTTTATTGATCTTTATAAGTGTTGAATAAGGAGCCTTAGGTAGAGAGTTTTGTTAATTGTTGAAAGTGAGTCTAATTTATGGCTTCTTCTTAATCGCAAAGCTAGAGTGTAGGTTTGTGGGGATATAATAACAGAATAAGTAAGATAATAATCCCTTCTTTTATAGAGTAGTAATATTATCATAGTACTATAATTAGAAGTCCACTCTAGAAAAAGAAAATTTTAAATTTATCTTAATATAGATTCTTTTAAAATAGAGTCAGACTCACTCTATAAAAGCGTAAGTTAGCCAAAGGAACAAGCCTAGGAGTTCACCATCATAATAACTTCGTATCACAATATGAAACTCTCCGCGAATCCATTAAGACAGCACTACGGAAGGGGTAACGGACCAAGTAATAGAACTATGGCAGAGCTCGCGCACCCAGATATTGAGATTCATATCGACGGAAATTCCAGCTCTATCAATATAAACATCACACTTGGAGATACTGGAGACACAGGAAATGCGACAGCCTGGGCCTTGCCGTCTTTTCTTCTTCCTACGATATCCAATTTGGAGTTCTCCAGTGCTCAAACCGCCCCAACAGCCACTCTCGGTCTCTCGATGTCGAGCAGCGGCATTTCCGGCTCCATGACCTCCAGCCTTCCCTCTTCAAGCCTCACTGTGGGGGCATCTCCAACATTGCCAGTAGTGTCAACCTCTCTAACGAGCCCGACACCATGGTTCGCTGACATGAGCCCCTTCGCAAATACCTCTAACACTACGGTGCCACTTATCATAGTTATACTTCGTACACTTTTTGGTTAAATAGGACGCAGACAGCTGGACTGGTACTAAATATCGGTGGAAATATATAGATTCTCGAATCATTGTCAATCAATAGCTTGAAAATAAACAAATATAGAGACTTTCCAATTCAGAGCGCGCTTCAAAGTCTCCTAATGGCAAGAACTATTATTAAGCTAACCGCATTGATTATAGGAAGGGTGTCTCGTGAAATCTCCCCACCTTACGTAGTTACTGGGCATCCCCATCCCTTGATCCAGAACTTCTACTCAAGAATGATGAAATATAACATATATTACTACTATTGAATAGTTAAGCTTGAGCTATTCTTAGTATAATAGCCGTTTTATATCTCTCAATGTTAAGAACCTGGTGGACCTATTGAGATCTCTATAAGACTTATCGTATAAAGGTAATTTAGCCTAGTTCGCCTTGTGGAGTAGCTATATGACTAATTTATAAGGTTATATAGTACCCGTAATTGTAAACCTAAGACACTCTCGAAGCGACGTATAATAATAAAATCATATTTTATCATCAGTCTGTTATACCTACTGGAGCTTATCTCTTGAATTCATTAGGCCTAGTGCCATTCTATATTCGATCACTATTCCTCGTTCACTATGATCCCTATCCTTCCATATCCTTAGATAATGTCTCCTGATCACTAGTTTCCATTATCCGCCAGTTTTAACTTATCCCTATAGTTGTTATAGTAGATTTGCTTATATAGTGATAAAATTTGGCGCAGACGCTGCCGGGCATCCAGCGCCTAGGGTAGTATTATCAAAGTTCTGTAGAGTGATAATACAGGTATTAACTCGATCGAGCTGTGTTTGGACCGACATATCGTTCAAATCCCTCGAAAATTCCAGTTGTATACCAAAAGCATTTCCAGCCGAAGTGAATTACTCTAGGCGCTGAATAAATATATCTATTTCTGGTGGACATTCATATGGTATATCAATATCGTTGGCGCCCTGACAGCTACCCGGCTGGGAAGAGCTGGGGATTCCAGGGATAACTCCGAAGGTAGGGACAAGGTATGGGTCAATCATATTGTCATATTGATCCTGAGGTGCTGCGAGAGTAATTACAGGGGCCGCTACAGCAAGGATTCCGCCTATCTTCATATTTGTAGATATTATATAGGTGGATAAGAGAAGAAGTCTTGAAGAAAAACTATAGAGGATTTGATAATTAAGGTGTATTCAGGATTTTTATTTCTTAGAAGGGCGAATTAACTAGGATATTTTTCCAGGTAAAGAAGATACTTTATAAGATGAGAAAGTGGATATAAATCTTAGCGTAAGGCACTTGCTTAAGATAGAATCTTTTGCTTTAGCTACTCTTATACTCCTATTTATAGTGAATTTGCGAATAACATCACCGCTTACTTGGGATATATAGTCCGAGTATCTAAGCATAGCTAACGACTCTTCGAAATCGGACTACTTTATATACCACGCATAATCTGGTTTCAGAGCCCCCATAAAGTCCTTCAATTTAATTAATAGCGTTAAGGAAGAGTAACTAATATGTTTAAATATTGAACTAACCGGTGAGATTCTAGTAAATAAATAGATCCTCCCACCCAGCTATATATCTCCCAAGAGCCTTTACTTGTCAGATAAATATAAATCGCTTTTGAATAGAAGAGGTGTTACGGCACCACCCCGAAGCCCTCGGACTGCGCCGAATAGGAGGGATCTAGTTAGATTCCATAATGATTAAGAGAATAGATATAAGACTCTAGTAGAGCCTTACTATAACTCCAATACGTAACGACCCTACTAATATCGAACCTCTTATAGTCTATGAAGTCCTTATATTCGACTATTAAAATACTCTTATATTATACTAGACTACTTTATGATAATCGAAGAGTCTAGACTACTAAGTAAGGAGGAATATTTCACCCGGAAAGGTATATATATTATACTATAGCCCCTAAATAGGGTAAACTAGCTAAGGACCGTACGCGCCCCAATAGGGCGTATAAGTAGCGGTATACCTTCGTATACTCCTTAAAGTCTCTTTAAGGCTTCGAGTCTCTATATATAGAGACTATAACTATTAACTC